AAAAGTAACTTTGGATTACATTAAAAGGAATAACACATTATTGAGAGGTGTCTAGCCCCAACAAGGCATTGTTATTAAGCTTTGGTTAGCAGTGTGGTTATTTGGAGGGTGTTAATTCATTGGTTAGTTGATTATTTGAACAGAAGTTGGTTGGTTTTACTAATTTATATTTGTTTTAGATATTCATTGATTTTCTTTATTTGTTTCTATTAAATGTATATGGTAGGCCACAGCTGTTCTGCATCCGCTTTTGTCAAAAACTCTAACGTGATTACACAAGTCATTATTGCACTTTCCGCAATGTACTATTCATAATGTTGAAGTTATTGTAAAAATTGTCATAAATTCTATAACAAATACACTTTTGAAAAACTACTGTGGTAGAAAAATGATAGACTTGGAAAGGAAATAAAAAGTTAGATACTCTTACAGCATAAATAAATACAATAACGATGAATAATGAGGTGGGATGGGATATCAGTGTGATATTTTTTTTAATTTCAATGTTTAATTATTTATTAAAGAATTCAGTAATTAAAGTTTATATCCATTATATACATATAAAGAGAGTATTAAATACAATCAAAGTTTAGGCCTCCAGTTGATGACGTCACGAATAAGCTGTACGGCCTTGTTATTTCGCTGGTGCCGCTTTGACTCCGTTATTTTTTCGATCATACGGTTATTCAAACAGTAGTATGGTAAATAAAACACATTTTTATATATTATATACTTTTTTATTTTCAGTTTTTTTATAAAGAGTACGTATTGGACGGATTTGTTTTCAGATGACGTATGAAATAAATATTGCAATTTTTGAACGATAAATCAAGTATGCTACATCTACAATAAGGGCTGGCTCACACTACAATGCCGATCACAGATCGGATCGAACAGACGAACCGTGTATAGTGTGGATCGACCCTAATACATTAGCTATATTTATTCATCCTTCTTTATATATAAAAAATATATTTACAAGGTTATCAAGTAAAAATAATACTTAACGACAAAATTTGCCGAATGATATAATAGAAAAACTTAAAATAAAAAAATATTGCTAATAATCATTCTTAAATCTACAATTATACAAAACTTAAAATAGAATCTATATTATTATAATAAAAATGTCTGCGGTGGTAATGTAAAACTACTTAATGTAAATTTCTTAATATATACAATTTTATACGTTTGAGTATCTCTCTCAAAACTTGTAAAACACTTAAATTTTTATATTTATTAAATAACCACTAAAACAATATTTTTTAAAGATTAAATATTAAATTATGTTTATCACAAGTTCTATTCGTTCTTATGAAATAATTTTTAGTAATGCTTAATATAATGGACGGACTTGGATTTACAATATAGCGGGTTCTCAGCTGACAGTCTCACTGAAGCAGTCTGACATCAAGTGATAGGGAAACGGCGCTTGTGTCCATACGTTTCATTTTCAGCTAGTTAGATACATTCAGGTGGTCTAGACATATTTTGTTAGTGAAACATACAAATTCTACAAAGTTACAATCAGTTTTCCGAGGAGTAATTATGTTTTACCATTAGAATACGAGTTACAGAAATATTCTGAAAACGACGAAAATGTCGTAGATGTATGGATGGCAGTGGACCACGCGCAAAAATAAATGGGTGTTAGTAAAGAGTATATTGAAAGAATTGATTTTGGGAAACCAATTCTGTCAATATTTCTTTAAAATTAGTAGAATTATAATTAATATTCCCTCATATTTCAGTTTGTATTCATTGTTCAGTAAAAGCGAACAAAAGTAGAACTAGATTTCACTTTTTTCACTTGAAATTATGAACATACTGATCAGTTTCACTAAAAACGTGTTTTCAGCTTCATTATTCGTTCAGTAACAGTGCATCAGTCATACGGCTTCGGTGATGCTGATATGTGAGAACCCGCCTTAAGGCTTTTTAGCCAAAAATGCACAAAGGTAATGAATCTACCGGGTGCGTCTCAAAAGTGGCTCTCCTCCATAACTTTTTTATTTTTTCAGATAAAAATACGAGATTTGTTGTGTTAGTACATATATGACATAAATTAAAATTGATTGACGTATTCAATTGATTTTGGTCACTTCCTGTTTCACAGAAAATAACTACAACTTGATTTTTAAATTGCACCCTCGGTATATTTCTATTTTATTCGATAGAAAATGACACTCTGAATAGAATGATATATTATATGTCAACTATTGACATTTTCGCATTGGTCTATTTGATTTTGTAACATACTTTCCAAGTTCATAACGACAATTTGACTCGAAATATCAAGTGTGTGGTACCAAATTATTCATGAAAAAATACATTTTCCAAATATGCTAATGAGCCACCCTTGTTCTATTTGAAAAAATTGAGATATAATTAAAAATACGATTTGGGCATCTTATAACCGCCCAGGACAAGATACGACATTAGACGATCAAAACTATTTTTTCAAGGTTCCTTGATTAAAAATTAGTGGTTTTAACTCAGCCATAGCACTCTAGATTGAAATTTAAAATACAATTTGTTTTAAAGCGAAAATGTCAAAAGTTGACATATGATATGTTATTCTATTCAGAGTGTCATTTTCTACGTAACAAACCAAATCTCGTTTTTTATCTGGAAAAATAAAAAAGTTATAGAAGTGACTCACTTCCTGCCCACTTCCAAGACGCACCCGGTATATTATTATAATTTTAATAAGATTTTTCGATCTTCAGTGTAAATTTTTAAGTATACAATTAACTAGCTCTATATACATTTTATAAAAATCTGACAATTCTAAATACTTTTTTCTATTTATACGAGTAAAACAATCATAAAAGAGGCATATTTATGTCAATTTTCTAAAAGTACTGTAAAAATTTATTATCCAATTTTCCAGTTTAATATTCTAAAGGCCACAATATTTTAAAGGCTACATGTCTCATTCAGAACTTCGAAATTAGTGGAATAAATTAGTGAATTCTATTATACATTATATTTAAGTATTTAGGATCATTTTTCAAAGATGGCTCTCAGACTGAACAGATACTAACTGGAGTCATTACAAGCAAAAAAATAGAGAGGTACGAGCCGCCATTAAGGTAGGAAAAACAGATATTTGGGAAAGAAGGTGTCAGCAAGTGGAAAGCCTAATAGGGGGCGCACGAGGTATTGAGGTATGGAGAACAATCCGACAAATGAAAAAGCCAATCAAACGGACAAGCTCTTGAATAGAATGGATATAGAAAAATGGCGCAACTACTATGCAGAATTACTGACAGAAAACCAACCAGAATTTTATGCAGTAGAAGATGAGAACAACCTTGCAGGCACTTTAATGATAAGCGAAAGAGAGTACATCAAAGTCTCAATCGAATGAAAATGGGCGGTCACCGTGGTCCCTGGTAATATTGTAGCGGAATTGTTAAAGTGTGTAACCCAAAGACTGCCTTAGCATCTGGGGTAGCAGAGCTGGTTAAATAGCAGAGCTATTTAACCATTGCTGCCTGCAAAGTAAACTACCCCGAGAATGGCGAGTGGCTCACATAGTGTCCATCTTTAAAAGGAAATCGTAACATTTACCCGCTTGTTATAGAGGCCTAAGCATTAACAGTTCGGTCAGCAGACTTTTTGGAAAGGTGCTACCAGGGTGTTGGAAACAGGGACATTATTGGTGACAAATCTCTCGGAAAGACCAAAGCGGATTCACACCGGGGAAATCTTGCACATATAACCTTTTTTGTCCCTGCAGCAGGTGATGGAAAAAAGAGTAGCAGTAGATTAAGAAGTCCATCTAGCATTTTATTGATTTGGAGAAAAGCGTACGACTCTATTCCCCGCAGCAAGATATGGGAAGTCTTGACTATCTTAGAAGTAGATAGACCTTTGCTTAAGATAATAAAAGAGCTATATAAAGAAAATGAATCGTACGTTAAGATGGGACACAGGCTATCTAATCCAATTAACACCACAAAGAGGTTGCGACAAGGATGCAGCTTATCTCCTCTGATCTTCAACGCTTACGTCCAAGTAGCCCTTAGGGAATGGAAGACAGAAATGTCAAGGTATGGGAATACCCTTGGGGACAACACACTATTTACCCTGATCTTTGCAGACGATCAGGTCGTGATTGCACAGGACTCATACGATCTAGAGTTCATGACTAAGAGGCTTTATCAAAGAATACAACAACAAATGGGGGGACTTCAGGTTGAGTCTAAAGACCGAATACTTAGCTGTCAATTCCAACGCTTGTTTTGGAAGTCTTCATTAATGATAACGTCCAGATTCAACAAGTAGACAAATTTAAATACCTGGGTGCTACTATCAACAACGAGGGGTTTGGGCAAAGTAGAAATACAAACCCGAATTCAGAAGAAGCAAACAAGTTATTGGATGTCTTAACAGCCTCTGGTGGGACCGAAACTTGTCTGCAACAACTAAAAAGAGACTTGGAAGAACATTGGTGGGTAGTCAGTTCTATGGTTCCAAAGTTGGACTCTGAGTGCAGACGCGAAGCGCAAAATCTTGTTGAAATGGACTACCTTAGAAGAAGTGCAGGTATATCTAGGATGGAAAAAGACAAACATCGAGGTCAAGGCGTATCATGAATGCATCGGAGGAAACAATTACTAAATCGAATCAGAAAAATCCAGCTTAAAATGGTTTGGACATGTTCTGCGTATGCCGGAGAACAGGTGGCCAAAAAGAGTTTTTTCAATGGGCTCCCCAAAGGCAGAAGAAGAGGGTAGATCTAGAAAATCCTGGAACGGAACAGTTTACAGGAAGCAATGGAAGCTCGTAACCTAGAAGCTGATGACGCTCTAAATCGAGATGTGTGGCGTAGGGTAACGGGAAGGCAGCAATAGGCTGTAGTTGGAAATGAGTATTAAATACGTAAACCAAATTCCGTTTATATATATTATATATAGGATCATTTTTACAATGTCAAAAAAATCAATTAAAATTAATAGATTATCCTAGCAGCAGCTTGTGGTAGTCAGTTGTATTCATAAAGAAAGCCTAATAATTACCTTAAAAGACAATAAACTTTTTATTTCTAGCCACAATTTCTCTTGACAGATGCTGTTATGTTAGATGTTGAAAAGTCAGATCATGAAAAAGTTAAATGTTCAAAGTTCAAATTGGTTTTTAACGTCTCTTTTTTTGCCACTAAGGCTAATCTGGACAGGGCCTACTTTGTTTACGCGGAACCGCGAGTGTCTAAATCGACCCTTACTCACGAGATATCTGATCTCATCCGGCCTCAAGCCAGTGTGAATAAGCAGTGTATGTCAATAGAATTTACATTCTAACCATGTAACAACAACACGACAGAGTTTTCAGACGTTCACCCGTCCATCAACTCGCATCGTCTAACGTCGTTTAACTTCGGTGTTCTATGGGGAACCGGTGGTTCGGCGTAGCTGGGCCGCTGTCCAAGTTAAAAGTTTGTTATTTTTTTTCTTTTAATTGAAAAGTACTACCACTAATTTTGAAGTTCTGAATGCTTATATTGAAATTAGAGACATTCTGAACGATTTCTGAATGAAACTTAAGTTATACAAAAAACTTGTTTTTATATACGTGATAAATTAAATCTTCAAATTTGCTTAATAGGATTAAAACATTCTTTCACTCTAACTAATCAAATCTCCACTTTGCCTCAACATTTCTAGCCTCATTTCGTGTTCTCTCGCCTTCAACCGTAACGAGGCTATACTCGAACTCCTTCTGTCAACGTCAGGCGGCGTGACAGCGCTAGCAGCGCCACCAGGTGACAACGGCGGCGAGGCGGTGAACTCCTGTTTAGGTCTCTGCGCAGCCGATATATTCGCCAGCAGGGTCTGGAAGGAACTTGCCGAAGGGTACAGCCCTACGGAAGGTGGTAGAAGGTGATGTCCGGTACGGTGGTACGACGGTGGCGTTGGTAAGTACCCGGGTAGGACGTGCGGCGGGTAGCGGAAGGTTAAGGGGTCGAAAGGTTTGCGTAGGCCGAAGGGTAGGTTGAAAGGGTTGGGTAGTGAGGGTGGTACTACGGAAGGCGAGGGTGCGCTGGTGGACTGGTTCAGGTAGGGTGTGTATGGGTGGCCTTGGGGTCCGACTTTCTCTTGTTTGCGCCATTTGGCTCGCCGGTTCTGGAACCACACCTGGAACAAAAAGAAAAGTTGAAACATTGTTTGCCAAAAAACAAGTTTGAATCAAATCAGATTTTTTATTATTAAAGATAAATGAAACTAAATGTTAATGAAGTTAGTACCGTATGATCGAAATAAAACGGTGTCAAAGACGACTGGAGAATGACAATTGATGATAATTTTGGCGAGGTCAATATCTAAACGTCAAACTTGTCAAAAAATTAACACTAAGTATGGAAAGATTAAATCTATTTCCAGAAAATTATTTTTGTGAAATTTTTAAATCACACCATTTAAAACAACTTTTACTCAATATAAAAATAAATTACCTTCTAAAGACCAATGGCAGCCATTAAAAAATAAAGGAGAGTATGAGCCAGGTAAATGACATCTAGGGCTTCACCTCCCCAAAATTATCATCGGTTGTGATTACCCAACTGTTTTTGACGCCGTTTTTCGATCGTATGGTATTTGCTGGCCTTAAAGTCTTAAAACCAAAAATTAAGGCCGTATTTCGTTGAAAAAACAGGTTAACCAGGTTGTATAAATACTGGTAAGGATAGGTTTTGTTTCATTTTAGCTTCTGATGATGGGAGGAGATAACTCCTGAAACGTTAGGCATTTTATGTCGATTAGGCAAATTTGTTTTACGAGTAAAGAACCACTGACAAGCTAGTTTCGGTTGGATTCAATGCAGTAGTGTCTACAAAAAAAATACTTTTTGAATTTTTAGATTCCTTTTTGGCTGGCAAAATATCAATTTTCAAGAAACTATAAGTTGTGGTACCGTGCGAAAACAAAAATAATACTAAATAAAATAAATAATGTGAATCATATGCAGAAAAATTATGAAAATAAATATTAAAATGAGTTTTTAAGATTTTGACATTAGTTCGCAGTAAATCTGCCCTAATGGATAGTAATTTCGCTGTAATCCCAGTCACACAACGTCACTAGAGATGTTAATAATTGCAACTGATTTCTGATTACTGCTTGAATCCTGATTTATTTCTTACTGGTATTTGACTGATTTCTAGTTTCTTGACCGGTTATTAACAGCTTTTTGACTTAGGTCTGGCATGTGTGCGAAATAACCCTGACTGATTGATAACCAGCAGGGATCAGAATTGATTCTTGATAGTTGTCTGAGTGTTCAATGAGCGGTTTCCGGCTGGTTACCGACTGATTTTCGACCAATTCCTGACTAGTCTATGACCGACCTTTGACTGGTTTCTGACTGATCTCTAACTGGTTTCTAACTAATCCCTGACAATTTTTTTTTGGCAAATCCGTCTTCCAGTTTCGGACTGATTCTAACTAGTTTGTGATTGATTATTGATTGATTGAAGAATTATTTCTGAGAATTAAGCTGACAGATTTTTTATTTATATCTGGCATGTTTGCGAATTATCCCAGAACAATCAGAACTGATTCCTGATAGTTTTCTGACTGATCTTCCAACTGGTTCCTGACTAGTTAATGACTGACCTCTGACTGGTTTCTGATTTATCTCTAACAACCCTTTTTTGGCAAATCCGTCTTCCAATTTCGGACTGATTTTAACTAGTTTGTGATTGATTATTGATTGATTGAAGAATTATTTCAGGAGAAAAAAGTTTCATTATGTCATTTTAACAGAACGTCAAGGGTTTATAATTGGCATATCTGCTATAAACTAAAATGTTGAATAGAATGTATTTAGATAATTTAAATAGCTTTCTTTGTTTTCTTTGTTCTTTGTGTTTTTTCTTGTCTCTGACGACGAGTGGAAATATGCTTCCTAAAACTTTAAGAATATTTGCCGCTTAGACAAATTTAATTTACTAGAAAAATACCACTGATAAGCTGGTTTTCGTTTAGATTCAACGCCCAGTGTTGTTTACAAAAAATAACTTTTTGATTTTGTAGAATTTTCTTCCAGTAGCGAAAAAACAGACTTTTTTTCAAGAATTGAACCCGTTACTGAGATATAGACATTAAGCTAGTGTAAATTTTAGTCAAATAGTAAAATAACCATAAACAATCGAAAAAAATGGTGTCAAAGACGGCTGGGGAATGACAATTGATCATGATTTTGACGAGGTCAATCCCTAGACGTCATTTCCATGGCCTGTACTCTAGTTTATTTTTTAATGGCTGGGCCAGTTGGCCTTAAAAAGGTTTTGTTTCATTTTTACTAAAAATGATTTTTAAACGGTGTAGTTTAAAATTCGAGGAAAAATAATTTTTTGGAAATAGAATCTCAAAACGTTCTAGATCTTGCTTTAATCCTTCTATAATTAGTGTTAATTTGTGACAAGTTTAATGTAAATATTTAGTAAACGACGTCTAGAGATTGACCGCGCCAAAATTATCATCGATTGTCATTCTTCAGCCGTATTTCACTTTATAGAAATTTGCGGTCAATCTTGATCTTATTATACCAAGAGTATTTAGTATTCGAACCACCGATGTATTATTTCTGGTAGTACCCCAGGACCAAAAGCATCCCGATCCCCCGCTGCGTCGGCAACAAAGCCTCACGACCATCGACAAAAACAGCACTATCACTGACTAAATAAGATCGTTAAAGCTCAGCCTATAAAAGTATAATGGCCGATGGCCGATCGCTCCAATCTCAATAACGCTGGGTAATCGGCAGCCAATTAATCGTTATCGATGCCATCGAAGATATCGATGACTGAATTCGATTAAGACGACCAATAATATGCATACAGGGTGGTCGCGCTTTGTCTGGATCGACCACATTTTATACGCTTACTAAGGCCGAACGTCAAAGAATGTCTAGAGAAGCTGAACAAATTAGGCAAAGAAAATAAAGTCATCCTACTCTGGGTTCCAGTCCACCAAGAGAGAGAAGGTAATGAATAAGCACACGATCTAGCTAGAAAAGGAGCGAACACTCCACTAACTAGACTAAAACCGTTCTGTTTTCCAAATTGAACTAACTTAAATCGGAACTCAACAATCTGGAAACTCCATCCATAACCTGCAAATCCTTCAACGGTCTAAGACACTCAAAGAAATTTCTCAGAACTTACAACCGAGAAAAATCAAAATTTTTCCTTGATTTAGCTAAGAATAATCTTCGAATTGTCACGAGGTTTTTAATGGGACACTGTCTCTTCAATGAACACCTCAGTAGACTGAAGCTAAGGAACAATGGCGACTGGAGATCCTGTGGAGAAAATGGGGAAACACCAGAACACCTCATCACTGAGTGCTTCGAGGCGACAACCATTCGTGCCATAAACTTTGGTACAACTGATGTCAGAGATGGAGAACAAACCTCTGCAAAACCGCCTCAGATACTGGCTTTTGTCAAAGCCCTGAGACTGTATGACGAGTTCAAGAAAGTGGGATACAATAGATCTATAAGGTCGCGGTGATTAACTTCCCCCCTGTTATACAATATACAGAGGTACTATTTCTCCTAAGAACATCCATAAACGGCAAAGAGAAGTTTTTTTCTTTCTGAATCGTAAATTTGATGGAATTAATTTGTGAATTGAGGCTATTGAAAAAAATAATCAACTGTCTATAGGTTTCTGTTCCAAATTGTAAAGGTTTAATTTTTTTTAATTTCTATCTCCAGTAGATTCTTTTTGTGTACTTCTATCCTCTAGGATCATTGTTATTACGTAAAATCAAAACATGGCTCAACACGGCGACTGCCCTTAAACTTGACCCAAAATGGATCATCCTGTATACGGTCGTGTTTCGAAAGAAATGTGCCCACTCACGCTCCTGGCGTTAACCGGTAGTACCACAGCGGTACTACCTGTAATTAGTTTTCCATTCTCTCTATCCGACTATTATTTTACCTTATTAAATTTATTCGTCTGACACTGAGGGCAGTGTTGCCGCCATTGATACTTAATCGACGCGTTGAAGGACTTGGTTGAGATTACATATCTTCTTCAACATAGAACAAATCACATCATGGATAGTTAACATTTTTGTTTTTTAGTTTATAATTACATATTTTAAATAGTCGTTATAGTCGTTAAATTATTATTAATTATTTTTATCGTGTATCTGTTTTTGTCATTTTCATTATTAATTTTCATAATTAACAGAAAATTACCTAATTGCGTAAACAAACTAGACACATATTCTTCTTCGGTCACAAATGATTAAGAATAACTTATAGTTTATCTAATAATTTAATACCTAAGCTAGAGTTAGAAAATCCTAGAGATTACAAAAAAAATAAGTGTGGATGTAAATCAATTTATTCTTTCTTTCGCTTTAAACGTAGGTAATGAAAAAGTAAACGATCTCTAGTTAGAACAGGAGCGAACACTGCACTAATTGGACCAAAACAGTTTTGCTTCCCAAGTGGAACTCAACTTAAAGCAGAACTGAAGCAGCGGGAAGACTCCATCGGTAACCTGGAATGAGAATCCTCCAACGGTCTAAGACACTCTAACAAATTTCTCAGGACTTACTACCGAGAAAAATCAAAGATTTTCCCTCATTTAAGTAAGAACAATCTTCGGATTGTCGCAGGGTTTTTAACAGGACACTGTCTCCTCAATGAACACCTAAGTAGATTGAAGATGAGAAACAACGGCGAATGTAGATTCTGTGAGGTAAATGAGAAAAACCAGAACACCTCATCACTGAGTGTGTCTAGACAACATCGCGCTACAAACTCTGGTACGACTGATACCGGAGATGAGCAACTAACCTCTGTAAAGCTCCAAAGGATCAGTTATAACTGAAGAAAGGGGGGATTGGCCAATAGATCTATAAGTCTGCAGATTAACTCTTCTCTTCCTGTACAATCTATACATGTATAATAAGGTTCATGTAAGCATAATGGTGATTTGCTATGCATGCTTCTCAAGTAGCACTTTTAGACACAAAATCGAATCTCTGCTGAGAAACATCGAGAAACAGTTTTCGTCACATTTTTGATACGTATGTTTCTGTAACATAAATCACTTTTTGTTTCAAAACATTTTACCAAAATATGGTTTCGCTACACAAGCTAATACAATAAAGAT